TTTTTGGACCAATACTGATTGCACGACTCGTATAAATATTGTCTGTCTTTTAATATAGCGATATAAAAGATAATTTAAAATTCATATTTAATATACATATTAACAAAAATTGATCAAGATATACAATATTTACCTCCACTTGTGGAAGCCTGATCAGTCAGACCTGTTTGCTTCATCAACTCAATATTGTCATCGTATTCAAAGTCATTACATTGTGAACCACCTGAGAATAGATTGAAAACCCGGATATACCTGTCCAGTGGTCGTGAGTTGCCGTACGTGTTGGCCATTATGGAGCACATGGTGTCGATGGAGGGATAAAGACCTAAATTGTTGTATTGAACGGCACCCATAATATTGTTGGTCAACTGATCCATCAATTGATAGACATCGAGAGTGTCGGTGCCATTGAACGGGTCGCATAAATTGAACTGCTGTTGAATGGTATACCAACCCTCAGCACTTTTGAACTCCTCCTCCAATTCTTGTGTCGCTTCACTAATAATTCATTTAATTATACATTAATTACTTAATTAGTGAATAGATTACAGCATATAATAGGAAATAGAAATTTTAGAAACATTTAACTGTTTTAAGGGAATCCTAATACTGACCCAAAATAACGGGAACATTGGGTACCCAACGATTTGCTAACGGCTTTCAAGTAGGTCTTAAAATCGTAGACGAACTCCATGGGCGCGCTCGAGGCTACTGCACCGGCTGTCTTATTTGGATACGTAGCCCTAACCAGTGCGGCTAATGTACCTCCATATGAACCTCCAAACACAACCCATTTACTGCCATTCAGTGAAAGATTTGTCGTTAAATAATCGATGAAATTCGCCACATCCCTGAGCACCTGATCGATGGTTAGGTAGCGGAGATTATGGACAGATAGGTTTGGTGTTGGCATAGACTGTCCATAATATCTGTGCTCAAGAGTTACGGCCAATGCGTTGAACTGTTGGGCGAAGTTTGTGCTCATTTGGGAAGTTATAAAGAGATTGGGGTCTAAAGCTTCTTCATCGCCCATCAGTAGGAACACCGGTCCACCACTTCTATAGTAAGTATCGCTTATATAGTACCTCTAAATCATATTAATTATAAAAATATTTCTATATTATAATCAAATTTTCAAGAATAGTTAGTTACGGTAATAAAATGATATAATTGTTTATATTAACCTGTTTAAAAGTTTTATTATCCGATGAATTCAAGTGATCGACTTTTTGGTCAAACCATTGGTTTCCAGGTAATGTTGGCAGTAGATTATCTGGCTTAACAATGGGTGGCCTCACTATTCTATGTCTACCGATAAGACGTCCAGTGCCTCTCAATTTCGGGTAACTTTTTAGGCCAAAAGTAATCCCAAACACAAAATGACTTATTAATAGGAACAGAACAATAGATTTTATCTGATATTTCATTGTAAGTTATTTATTATATTGTAGAATTACTGTAATACAGGTAATAATTTATAAAATATTAGAAACTTATAAAGACAAATAAAATATTTATTGTACCGTATATTGTTTTTATAGTTAATAAATATACTGTACAGAATATGAATTTCACCTTAATTACAATTATGGTATATTTATTGCAATATTATACCTGTATAGAGAAATTGAGAAATAATTGAGAAATTCATTAACAGAATCGCATTCTGTATTTGCATTACTATACAATAAATTGTTTATGGGATTCACCAGAATTATAAATAAATATTTTTGTTAATTTATTCATAAGTGCAATGCCAATTGAATATTAGCACTAATTTTACTTATTTTATTCAATATTATAATTTATAAATATACAGCAATAAATATAATAACAATTTGTCACTATATTAATATTTATAAGAATGAGTCAATTGTAATATAATCATTAAAATCTAACAAAAAATAAATGAAAGATTGTATTATTGATGACTCGTGCGGACGTGTTTCCTGACATTCCCCCTATCGCTGGACCGGTACTGACATCCGGGCCAATGACAGGCAAACGGCTTATCATTCATATGAATATTCATGTGATCAGTTAAGTACTGTTTCCATCGGAACCGTTTGCCACAATTAGGCCAATCGCACTCAAATGGTTTTTCGCCGGTATGAACGCGTTTGTGGGCTACCAGACTAAAGCCCATAAACTCACAGCCGGGCCAATCGCAAGGTATACGGGGTCGGGGCGTTTTGCGCGTTTCGGGTGGTAAGCCACTGTGCACTGTCCTCACATGAACCTTGCGATGGTATAGTTTCTTAAACCATTGGTCGCAACCATCGACAGTGCACCGGAACATAGAGTCGGGATCGTGTGAAAAGACATGTTCTCGCAATCCTTGGCTCGTCTTAAATGTCTTATTGCAGTCAATGTGATCGCATTTGAATGTGGTTTGCGAGTGATTAGAGATCACGTGATTGTGTAGCGCACCTCTAAAACAGCTCCGGTACTCGCAGTTAGTAAAGTGACACTTATATGGCTTAGTATTCGTATGAGTTCTCATATGAATTGTCATGTATTTCCTATCTTTAAACCTTTTGCCGCAGACTTTGCATACAATATGCGGTCGTTTGATCACTAGAGACTGCTCTACTAGTATTTTTCAGAAAACAAATGGTTTTCAGACTAATGTCAATAGAAGCCTTGTCTGCATGCTTAACCACCAGCTCAGCTTCCGCACAAAGCATACGGATAGCTAGTTGTCTTGGGCTGATTGTGGGAGACCTACTCGTCTCATACCATGAACTCTGAGTAAATGGTGGTAAAGAATTTGGTGGGAAAGGTAGGATCCATTGCAACCACTTTTCGGACACACGTAACGCCCGGTCTTCTCATCGCAAATGTCTTCTCTATTGATGTACTTCTGAGTCAATACTTCCAACTCTTCTTCAGTGCATTCATTCATTTTCTTTCGTTGTTGTCGTTTACTGACCGCAGTCTTCGTCACCACTAATGGTCTCTTCTCGTCGTCACTCCATTGGTCCGTTTCATTCATATCTGGAGTCCAATCGTCTCCATCTTCTTCTTCTTTATCTTCTTTAACTTCAGTCTTAGTGAGAGTCGTGTCATCAGTCATACCATTTAGACCACTGTTTTGTGACAACTCTTCACTTCCTGTCAAACCATTCATTTGATGCAATTCTTGTTGCAATTCATTCAACACATGTTTGTCTTCAGTTGTGATGATTGTCTCGAATTTGTGGTAAACGACAGACAAATGTGTCTTCA